TCCCTTTTTATACCTCTATAAAAGTTTCAGTATACGTCCTCATATAATGTTTAGCTTCAGGGCAGACTCTCTTTAGTCATCTGCATTTAGTAAAACGAACATGTTAGGATAAATACGAAAAGTTTTATAAAATATAAGCTTGTTGGATATATGATTCCCTGTAAATCACTGAAGTGACCTAGAAGGTTCTAGGAGAAAAGTTCCCAAGAAATGATCAGCAAAATACTTGTGTATAGATGCATTTAAATGCATAAATATGCGTACATAACTTTTAAAATGATTTATTTTTTCCCCTTTTTTTAGACTTAATTTACATGCTTATGAACGCATATACATGCATAAGCGCATTTATTACATGCTCTTAGATGCAGATTTTAGGATTCTGTGTTACAGATCTGAAAGCAGCACCTGTGCGAAATGCTCCAATGAAAACTATTCAGCTGCATTCAGATCTGTTATTGAAAACACTTGCATATGTGTATCGCCCTCCTAGATAGGATATTAGGATGCTAGGTAAATGTAATTCTTTTTCATGTGTGATTGCTTTGAGCTGTTCTGGGCGTTTTAGGTTGCAAGTTTGATTGTTCCCCCTGAGAAAATATAAATACTTGTGAGCTACTATGGTGAATTTTTAAATTGTGCTAAATAATCAATTACAAAACCTCACATGTGGTTCGCTGGCACTCACACCAACTCATTAAATAGTGTAACTAAACAGATTTATAACAATAGTGCCGTGCTCCCTAATTAAATGCTCTATATGCACCCAATAGCAGATGCGTTATTGATGTGAATACAATATATTATATAAATTGTGACTAAAATATATAAACATCAAACCATATTAACTGTGTTCATGACCACTGTGCAAATCAAATTATAAACTTATTCAATAAACCGCATAACCAAAATCAATAAAATATATGGAAAAAAAGTCCTCTTTAAATTCAGGAACTCCAACTCCAGTATCTGGATACAGTATGATCTATATATCAGTGAAAAGTGTCCTCAGTTCATTGCTCAGCATTCATTGAGTATCCCCAAACTCCCTATGTCCTATTCAAGTTAACCAGCAATACGTTTTTAAAAAGACAATCTCTAGACTGAACATTGAACTAGAAGAGTGATTGCTGCTGTGTGCTTGGCTGCTTTTGCATTAATCAGGGAAAGGAACCTGGGACAAATCAGCGAATGGTACGGAGGTAAGTGCCACATACGTGGTTTTTTTTTTTACAGCTGTGTGAATTAATCGTTATTGTTCTTATTTACATAGAAATACTCTAGAAATACTATTCCTGCCTGATATTCCTGCTGGTATTCCTATTCATTACTGGGGTGAGGAGCAGGCAAGGACTGGGACAAAAAATAGGCCCGGGCACTTTGGACTGAGCAGCCCAGGGACCCTTTCTTCGGAGCCCGGAGGCGGAACGCTAGGGCTCGGTCGCAAGAGCGGCCTTTGCAACCCTTGTAATTCTGCCACTAGTGTCAGTAGGTTTTTATTTTTATTTAATTTTTTACAATTTCATATTTTTATATTTTATTTTTTTTTACATTTTCTTTTAGGTGAGAAAGAAAGAAAGAGGGAAAGACAGAAAGAAAGAGGGAAAGAGGGAAAGACAGAGAGAAAGAGGGAAAGAGGGAAAGACAGAGGGAAAGAGGGAAAGACAGAGAGAAAAGGGAAAGAGGGAAAGACAGAGGGAAAGAGGGAAAGACAGAGGGAAAGAGGGAAAAAACAGAGAGAAAATGGGAAAGAGGGAAAGACAGAGAGAAAAAGGGAAAGAAGGAAAGGCAGAGAGAAAGAGGGAAAGACAGAGAGAAAGAGGGAAAGACAGAGAGAAAGAGAAGAAAGGGAAGAAAGAAAGAAAGAGAGAAAGAAAAGAAAGAAAGAAAGAAAAGAAAGAAAGAAAGAAAGAGGGAAAGAAGGAGGGAAAGAAAGAAAGAAAGGAGAGAAAGAGGTGACAGAGAGAGAGAAAGAAAGAAAGAGAAAGAAAGAAAGAAAGAAAGAAAAAGAAAGAAAGAAAGAAAAAAGGAAGGAGGGAGGGAAAAAGGAAACAGAGAGAGAGGGAGAAAGTATGAGGGAAAGAGAGAGAGAAAGAAAAGAAAGAAGAGAAACAGGAGACCGATAGTGAGAAAGAGAGGCGTATTGAAAGACAGAAAGAAGGAGGGGAGAGAAAGAGAAAAAGAAAGAGAGAAAGGAGGAATGGGAGAGAAAGAAAGGAGAGAAGCAGGAGATAGACAGAGAGAAAGAACGAGAAAGAAAGAAAGAAAATTAGAGAAACGGGAGACAGAGAAGGAAAGAAAGGAAGGAAAAGAAACAGGAGACAGAGAGAGAAAGAAGAAGGGGGAGAGAAAACACAAGGCTAGCTGGAGAGAGTGTGTGTGTGTGTGACTGTCAGCACTGGGGACAGTATAGTTCCCCCGCTGTGCTGGAGGAGATGAAGGGGGGGGGGGCGCGAAATGGGGTGGGGGTGCTGGAGGAGATGAGGAGGGGGACTGCTGGAGGAGATGAAGGAGGGGCCGCTGGAGGAGATAAGGGGGTGCTGGAGGAGATGAGGGAGGGGGCCGCTGGAGGAGATGAGGGAGGGGGCTGCCGGAGGAGATGAGGGAGGGGGCTGCCGGAGGAGATGAGGGAGGGGGCTGCTGGAGGAGATGAGGGAGGGGGCTGCTGGAGGAGATGAGGGAGGGGGCCATTGGAGGAGATGAGGGAGGTGGCTGCTGGAGGAGATAAGGGAGGGGGGTCGCTGGAGGAGATGAGGGAGGGGGCCACTAGGGAAGATGAGGGGGGTGCCGCTGGAGGAGATGAGGAGGGGGGCCACTGGAGGAGATGAGGAGGGGGGCCACTGGAGGAGATAAGGGAGGGGGCCACTGGAGGAGATGAGGAGGGGCGCCGCTGCAGGAGATAGGGGGGCGCTGGAGGAGATGAGGGAGGGGGGGCACTGGAGGAGGAGATGAGGGAGGGGGGCCGCTGGAGATGAGGGAAGGAGGCAACCATGGGGGCAGTATACAGGAGCCAACCGCATGCAGGACATGGATAGGAGAGGCGGCACATAGAGGAAACGAGAAATGCACGGTCCTCTATGCGCTGCCCAGCCTCCTCTCCTATCCAGGCGGCCCTGACCCACCGAGCAAATGCCCGGTTTGCCCTATGGCCAGTCTGGGCCTGGTGAGGAGTGAAAGTGGGAATCTCCTTTCCACATTTTCATCCCTAAGCAATCTGATATAATAATGAAGAATCACTTTCCTTTCTTACTTTCAATTAAGAAATTATTTTAAAAAAGACATGCTATAACGTCATATGATATAAAAAATCAGTTGCAGTAATGGTGATTCTATCCAAACGTTACAAAATCTCATGCTCTAAAATTTGGGATACATACTTATTCCAAGACAATGAAGATGAATCTATTCCAAACCCCATACCTCCTATCCTTCATGTAGTTTTAAGAAGACTCTGCTCAAATCCTGTGTTGCTGCTGCAGTCCAGTGCAGTTGGAGCTATAGATATTATAGAAGTCATGGACGTGGAATAGGGTGAGGTGTAACCTGACCTTCCACTGCTTAGTTTTGGGAATTTCTGTTCCCCTTGAGAATTACACATCCTGGAGAAAGTGTGGATTATTATTTCTTAGGCTACTTTCACACTGATCTGCCGCAAAAACGCATAGCCATTTTTACCGCGCTTTTGCCGTGCTTAGCGTTTTTTTAAAAGGCACGTGAGTTAAAAACTGCCCTAAAAAACGCTTATCAGAGGCTTTTTTGAGGCGTTCTTCTTCTTCAGGTGCTTTCCATTGATTTCAAAGGCGTTTTTGGGGCTTTTTTTAAACATGCCCCAAAGATGCTGCAAGGAGTTTTTACACCGCACTGCAAGCGCAACGCCTCAGTGTGAAATCATACATACATATACATTCACATACATAGGGAAGCATTTTTCTTGAGCTTTTCATGGGCTTTTTTTAATGCAAAAGTGCTTCAAAAACTCAGTGTAAAAGTAGCTTTAGATGCAGGAAAATCACATACTTACAACAAATCCCCACACCTCCTCTTGCTTCTCTCTAAAATGCTTTTCTACCTAACCCTGATTAACCCTCTGTTATCCCTAACTAGTCATAATTATTCATTTTTTTCACAAATCTTATTTTTTTACAATTTATATTTTTTTCTGTTTTGAGGTCTTAGAATTAAATATATACAAAATAAATAAGATAACTTTACCACTCTTTGTTTTCAAAACATAATTTTAGTGCCATAATAAATAGGATGCCATTTGCTAAGTAAATTGATATTTATTTTCTTTGATCATCAGTGCCATCTAGCGGTCATAATGCAGCATTTTCCTGATTCTCACTATTCTTATGAATTAAGAACATCTGACCTGGAGAGAATATAGCCTAGTAACAATCAAGTTTGCCGGAAGTCACAAAGAATAAATGTACATATAGGGGGAGGATTTACTAAACTGAAGCATGCAAAATCTGGTGCAGCTCTGCATAGAAACCAATCATCTTCCAGGTTTTATTGTCAAAGCTTAATTGAACAAGCTGAAGTTAGAAGTTGATTGGCTACCATACACAGCTGTACCAGATTCTGCGCTCTCCAGTTTTAGTAAATCGGGACTATAGTTTTGCAGGACAAAAAGCTCTGTGAATTTTTGTATAAATAAATCCTTTAGAGTGTGCATTGTTTTAATTGAGAGACAAAATCCCGTTTTGTACACCTTTTAGCACTTTAGTCAAGTGCTCAATAATGTGATGATTTGTTACTGATTTCGCAGGACAAATACACTCCTAAGTTATTTATCCTGTAATGATTTTCATAAAGACATTTGGCAAGCATGCTGACTAATTTGTCTGTAATTCAGATAGCTGCTAAAGAGAGTTCCTATGAATATGAGTGTTCTGTTTTCATTGTGGAATGTGATAACATAAATATGGCAAAGTACAAGTTGTATGGGAAAATCATCTGAAAGTGTTGGGTACACGCAGGGGTGGACTGACAACTCATGGGGCCCCCGGGCAATAGGGGATCATGGGGCCCCTGTGTCCTTGCCTAAACTCAAAAAAGCCTATGAAAAGGGTACCAGGGGCATCTCATGGGGCCCCCTACTGACCCCGGGCCCTCGGGCAGTGCCCGAGTTTCCAAATGGTCAGTCCGCCCCTGGGTACACATCACAATAAGAATTTAGTAAATAACAACTCAAAATCTGCGATGGCTACTATTAAAAGAAGGTCAACTATTTTGAAGGCTACTTTTTCATACTTCATGTCTAGCCTCCAGTTGTCATTAGAATAAACTGTTAAAAGACTATATAAGGGAGATGAGATTTGTTGCTGTGTGCCAATCCATTTAGCAATCTCTTAATTAGGCATTTTTTTCTAAGACACTTAGAACCCAAGCTATCAGCCAGTAGCTCATATAATGCATTTAGGTGCTTTAAATGAAGTAAAACAGCATTCATCCTTTTTGTGTATTTACAGTGAAATCACTCGTTTGAAAAATTAGTCTCAAGATGCATAGCAGAGATTAAATCCCATGACCTCCACAAAATAAGACCAGATTTTGTAGTGTATTGAAGTTTTTTTTTTTTAATGGCGTGTGTAGGATTAAAGAGATTAAATGCCGACATCTCTCTTTTCCATGCTGGAGTGTGTTTGAGAATGTACTGTGTGGGTGGTAAGCTTCATGTTGAGCTTATGTAGGGCTACAGAAGGAGGAAAAGTGGGCCGAATAATGCCCTCATGACCTGAAAATCAGTTTTCTTGATTTGGTTACCTCACAGCAATTAGATATTCCTGGTACGAAGACCAGAGGATGTATCGCTGTGCATATTTCAGAGGAAAGAGCCTGGATATTTACAGGTTGTATTAGACTGGATAAATCAGGATAATAATCAGCGCTGGCTATGTGCTTGCTACATTCTCTCAGGAATGGCTCATGTCACAATGGCAGAGTGACACAACTACAAGGATAAGGAGATGAGTGTTCTCTGAGGAGCCGGGGGACAAGGTGCTGTGCTTTTGGAGAAATGGTCCTCATTATTAAACTGCTTCTCCTAAGTAGTCTCTGGCCAGGGGCTGTCCTCAATGGGTTCCATCCGCAGAAGGAGCAGCATCATCATCAACACCACCAACAACTACAAGAGAAAGAGGACATTCACCCAGTGCCCATGAGAGACAGCCGCAAGAATACCAGGTGAGGGGGCTAATTAAGAGCTGTTTCAGCTGTTACCCCAAAAACATTATTTTTGAGTTCACCCCATGACCATTGACATTAACCCAGAACCAATGACATTGACTTACACATTACTTACAAGTAACTACAAAAGTTATTCATTTCTCATTGTGCATTGCTCCTTTCTTTAACCCTTCTTTTATATTGTCGTGATTTCCTTTCCAATTTGTCTTCCTCTTGCTCTTGTCCTCTCACTCTCACTCTAATTTTTCTCTCTCACTCTCTCTGTTCCTTGATCTTGCTGCCTCGCATTCTATTCACCCCTCTCTCTCATATTTCCTTTCATTCTCTCTCTCTCACTCTCTTGATGTCTCACGCTCTCCTATTCTAGATCGCTTTCTCGCTCTGTGTCTGTCTCTTGATCTCTCTCACTCTCTTTCAGTTATTCTCCACCTCTCTCTCTCTCTCTCTCTCTCTCTCTCTCCCCATCACCCCCTCTCTCTCTTCCCATCTCCCTTTCTCCATCTCCTCCCCTCTCTCTCTTTCCATCTCCCTCTCTCCTTCTGTCTCTCTCTCTGTATCTCTCTCTTTCCCCCTCTCTTTTATCCTCCATTTCTCTTTCTATCCATTTCTCTCTCTCTTTATGGATCTCTATTTCTTTCTATCCCTCTATCTCCAACTCTCTCATATTCTCCATCTCACTGTCTATCCATCTCTCTCCTTTTCTCCATCCCTCTTTCTCTATCCATACCCCTCTCTTTCTCACGTGTTCATTTTTCACACTCTTTTCTTCCGCTCTTTATTCACTCTATGTTCTTTGCCATGGGCAGTCATTCTTTCTTTCTCTCTCTCTCTCTCTCTCTCTTTTTCCTCTCTCTTGAGTTTCCTCCCCGTCTCTCCTATAATCTCTCTCCTTCCCTCTATTTCGCTCTCATTCGCTTGCCTTGTTCTCTCTTTTCCTCTCTCTTGTTCTTTGTTTTTTTTTCCCTCTTTTTCTGTTTCCTCTCCTTTTACTTGTTTTGAGACTTACACAATTAGTAGGACATGTTAGACCTACATATACACAAATAAACAAGTATATACAAGCAACTGCAGTGTTCTCTCCTACCATAAACAATTATGATATAGAGCAATGGGTACCAAGAAAATCAGAAAGTATTTTAACATTGATTTCGCTTGTGCAAAGACACGCTTATGAGTGATGCTCTCCAAACTGCAATAACTGGATGTCATTCTACAACTGACCTGTAATTATATCGCAATATCAGCCATTCTCAGCTAGGGCTCCTCCAGAAGTTGCTAGAGGTTTCTTGAGCTGTGATTGATTTTCCTCCATTTGATGATACCTAGATAGTTCCAGGATCAACACCACTTGGCAAAGCCAGCAGCAGGGCACCACAGATCTTTTTAGCTGTCTGTAATAGTGGCATTCTTCCTACTGACCACCAATGTAAGGGACATTTTTCCCATTGACCTGTGATGAATTGGATTCATTAAGAGTTTCTCAAGACCTTAAAACTATTATAGGGGTTCCTCTGGGGTAAATTGGTTGAGGGCTGCTCAATGTAATGCAGAACTGTGAAAGTAGTCACATACATATGGGAAATACACCTTTCAAAATAAAGGATAATTCCTTAAAAAATAGTATTATTGTGATTGGATTTCTTTCTACAATGAATGCTCTGAGAACTCAGGATCAAAAGTATTTGGAGGAATAACTGTATCTGTTGCCCACATCAGAATGTCTCTTCCATTCTCGCACACTGTACAGAAGATATCAAAACAAAATATAATAGACACTTCTAAACACAACATTTATTATTCCTAAAGGTTCATATAACCCGGTTAAAGGAGCACTATAATAAACCTGGTTTTTCATTCAACCATTGTAATGATCTGAATTTGCTTAAAGTGAGATATGGCAGGATGTTGAAAGTTGAAATCAGACTTGCAGGAGCAATGTCTACTGTATAGGAGAAAGGGGGGGGGGGGGGGGTTGTTTATGTGGTTTTACAGGCAGGGTGGGCATTATCAGTATGAGGATATTCTCTAATAGTCTCAAAGCAGGTGGGTGGGGGTGGGACGATGTCATGGAATCAGCAGCTTCTTAAAAATGGTATTACCCTACTTATGGTATGCAGCCATTTTAAATATGTATGTTGATAACCAAAATGTTTGCACTACTTCACAAATCTTGTTGTCTAGTAAAACAGCTTCTATAATTTTTTTTCTCATTTGGCTAATTGACTGGACTGGAGTTGCCCTTTAAATGAATATATATCCTAATGCAAAGCTTTCCCATACACCAATACATAGGATGATACCTTGGCTCAGTTGTAGATGTCAAGTTGGCATTCTAAAGCTGGTCATACACTGATCAAAATTTATCTGGTTCAGCAGGTACCGGCTGCATCTCGATCAGTGTGCGGCCATCCCTGCTCAACATGAGTTGATTGTTTGATCAAAGGGACAGATTTATCAATAAGCAGCTGCAGCCACTGATCAGTGTATTACAACAGTGGCAGGTCCTGCTGTCAGAATACAATGTCCCACCCGGGGGATTCCTCTATCTACCTCGTTTGTGTGGATGGAGCAATCTGTTTGTTTTCAGTCAGCCACTGGCTGAACATAAAAAAAAAACCAGACCCATCTATGGCCAGTTTAAGACTAGCTAGACCACCAGCTTCCAAGATTATGATACCCCCTTGATGCTTGGGATAGCTAAAGAATAGTATGCGAAAGGGGAAAATTATTGTTTCCAAATTACCTGACTTTATGAAGATCTTGTTAGAACAAAAATAGTCTATATTGTCTTCTCAATGATATATTTTACATATACATGTAAAATACATCATATAAATAATATTAGTATTGTTAATGTTTGTTGTAGCACTCTAAATATAGAATTTTTACTTTTATATGACAGTAAGGTATGTAAAATAAAAAACAAAACTGTCTGAATCTCTTATCATTCACACAAACATCATAAATAATCCACATAATGTTTGTAATATGTCTGAAATGTTATTTTCTGTGTATTTCCTCTGATTGAGCTCCATTTAGTGGCCATAATGTGATAATTTCTCAAAATACCACAATCAGGAAAATACCACATGATGGTCACTAGATGGAGCTGATGATTATACATATTACAAACAATGGGGATAACTTGTGAACATTTGCACATCAAATAATTTTATGAATAGACCCTCCATAGGCTTTTGTAATGACATGATTGTGTATAAACTATACAAGAAACCCCTACAGAAAGAGAAAATAATTTTCTCTCTGATATTCCACACAGTACCAATGCATTCTCTGAACATGAAAAAAAGAAAGATGATCTTACAATGTATAGGTTTATGTAATCTGATTGCCCAACTCTTCACTGCAGCCCTCAATGTGACTCCCTTCTCTACCTGCGATTGTATTACAGTGTATTATTGACTACAGTAAAGCTGGCCATACCTTAATCATTTTTTTTGGTACAACCAGTGGGTTAAAAAGAAAAAAGTTATCTGAATGTGTTGATGGGGGAATCTTTCCCATTGATCTTTTGTGTTTTGACAGCTATAACCAGCCATTCATGAAGTGCCTCTGGCTTGGCCAGTTAATTAAACAGGTATATGTGGAAACAACATATTGTAATGGCAGAATATTTTGCTTTTACAGTCTGTACAAAATTTGACACCTGTAATATAAAAAAGCTCCTCCCAAGTATATGACAGGCCCCACCCACTTCTGTCAAAGTCCCACTCACTGTCAGGAAACCATTTGGCAAAATTGTGTAGTTCCAACAGCAGTATTAAATTCTGGCACCTTGGGTGCCAGGCGGTTGTCAGTTTATTGGCCCCCAGCTGGTTTAATGGGATCATTTACAATAGAAGGGTTAGGGT